TATATATATATATATATATATATATATATATATATATTTTATATTAACTATAGATTTTAGTGAAAAAATATACAGTTATTGTGTGACCATTGTAATTTAGTGGCCAGTGGTGTTATTGAAGCTGTTCTACATTTTCAGGGTTTCATTTGCTTTAAAGGTCATTTGCTTTAAAAGTTCTATCCCATCACTTAGTACATTTACATTAATTGATTAAACACTTTGCAAGAGATACAAATCTGATTTTCCAGTTATATATATGTATATATGCATGTATATCTTGCGTGTATGCTCAATCATTTCTTTTGCAAATTTCTTCGACTGCACCATCGCCACGTCTCCAAGAGGAGTAAGTCTTAGCCGGCATCATCGTTGTATACTACGCAACGGCAGCTGTTGTGTTCGTGTTCGCTGGCGGTGGTGCAGTCGGCTGTGCCACTGACGGCGGAGGCGTTGCATTCGACGCTGTTGCGGCAGCGTCGTTGACGTGACCTAAATTGTTGGACGACACAGCGGAAGACGGAGCTGAGGGCGATTTGCCGACCTGTTGCTCGCTGGTTGCCACTAAATTGTTCAGAGTGGGCTGACTACTGCTGCCCAGGCTGCTACTGTTGGTCTGATTGCTGCTGACGGTGCCGCAGCTGTTGCTGTTGGTGCTGCTGTTGCTGACATCATTGAATGTTGCCGCTGGCGGCAGTTGCTGGCTGCTGTTGCTGTTATCGTCGTTGATTGCAGCTGTCGTGGCCACAGCCGCGGCAGGCTTGGCATCAGCCGCAGACAGCTCAGGCTGGGCGCTCGGCTCGGGCTTTACATTCAGCGTTGCTGGGGCACTTTGTTTCTCAGACGGCGTCTGGTTTATTCGCTGTTGTTGCTGTTGCTGCTGTCGCTGCTGCAACAATCTGTACTCCACCGAATGCAGTGGTCCGGTTCCGCGCGACACCTGGTATAGCACCCGAGATATGATCAATGCCACTTGCTGATCCAATATATGCGACATGACCAATCCAAGCAGTCTTTGCTCCTGTTGCATGAATAGCGAACGATTATCGGGATGCTTGGCCAGATGGAGCAGCGTCCCGGCTGCCCTTCGCAGCATGTCCAGGCTGGTTCCCATTGAGTCGGGATTCTCCCGGAGATAGTTAATTCCATGCTGGTTGGCCACACCCAACGCAGTTTGTTCCGCCTGTTCGATAAATGCAACGAGATACGAGATGCACGGCGACTGCAGGGCCACAGTACGCGCCATGGCACTGTCCGCTGCCGCCAGGTAGTGCAGCAAGTTGACTGAGAACTCACGCAACACCTGATCCTCGTTCCGACACAGATGACGCGTAAGCACCGCGCACAGTTTTTCCAACCGGGAAAACGGTGGTGTCGCAATCACCAAATCAACATTCGCATCCGTGACACATAATTTGCATAGCGCTTCCAGGGCGAGGCGTTGTGGGGATAACGCAGAGTTCGGGCCGCATGAGGGGAACGGGTCCTGACCATGCGCACTGGGACACACGGCCCAGTGCAGCAGTCCATCGATAAGCGGACGTGCGATTAGCTCATCATAGCGGGAGAGCTCCAGATGTCCAGCTATGTTTGCCATAGCCACGAGCATATTTTCTCGTATGGTTATTAAATACTCCCACCACCATTCGCGCTCTCCCTGCAGCGAGCTGCAGGAGTCGGTAAAGTCTGTATCCTCCTCCCTGTCGTAGTTGCGCGTCTTGGGAGTCCGCCGCAAGTGGTCGTGGTTCAACAATAGCAATCGACCGAGCACTGCTAAGAATCGCGACGACTTAGCCAACACCGTTTCGTTCCCAGGCACAAAAGTCAAATTTCGGAAAATATTGGAGAGCGCAATGCAGCGGCGCGCCAATGAGTCCTGACTCTCATTTACTAAGTACAATGACGCTTCGTCCCGCGTGTAGCATTCGTCCTCGTAGCTAGAGTCGCGGCGTCGCTGCAGGACATGCGCATCATCTCGCACCGTGGACTTGGGATCAAATCTCTTGGGCATTGAGGCAACTCCATTGGTAAGACGTTGTTGTTGCGGAGATTCGATTTCCATATCAATGGTCCGACAATCACTGTCGGTTGTACTGGCTCCCACCGTTTCGTTGTCTAGCTCCTTTTTCGGCTCCACAGCTGGCTGCGCAAACTCCTCCCCCACTTTGGACTTCTTGTTGTCGGTACTAGCTGCACCGACACTACCCACAAGGCGCCGCTTCTTATTGTAAGTCTGTTGAAGTAAACTACTGTCCTCCGTACTACTTGTGGTGTCCTCTTGCTTAAGCACAGGCGAAATATCTTCGTGTTTTGGGCTAATATTGCTTTTCTGTGCGGCTTCCTGTTTGCTCTTGTGCTTGGAGCGTATGTATCGCGCAAATGGAATGTTAACGATCTCTGACTTAAACACATCGATGATGCCATCAAGTGGGTCGGGTTCCGTAAAGCCATAGGTCCAAGCATTACTGCCCACTGGTTCCAGGTGCTCGTATAACCTATTCGTGTCAATATCCCAAGCCTTTTGACGCTCGTCAACAAAAATATCGTTATCAGCGGTCTGAATGCGGACGGGCACACCCTTCCGTGTGACCATGGTGTAGTTGGGTGTAAACGAAAGGAGAAGGGATCGCTCTTCGGGATTGGGCTGAACACGTATCTGACCCAAGTCAATACCCTCGTCAGCTTCATCCGAGTCCTCGCTGTGGGCAACACGCTTCACATCCATATTTTCGTAGTGCCTTCTACGGTTGTAGCTAGAAATGCTGTGCACTGAACGCGTTTGCTTCCGCTGCAGCTTGTCCTCAGCTTTCAATGATACTGTGCCGCTATCAGCGTCGTCATCTGCCGCCTCATCTGCTGCCTCGTCACAGCGTTCGTCGAACATTTCCGCTAGATTCTTTTGGAAGTGCTCCAGCAAGAGCGTTAGCAGACCCGGCAAATTTGATATGCCAAAGAATTGTACGGTCGAGTCGTCGAACAAAAGAACATTAAGCACATCTAACGCCCATGTGCACTCAGCAAGTAAGCCCGAGCGCATGGCCATAAAAATTCGCCAGGGATCGACAGGGCACACGTCAAGCTTGGTCAGGCGCTTCCGGCGGTATAGTACCGGCGTAGTCGATTCTACACTATCATGTGGAAAGATTAGCTCTTTCTTGACCATCTGCGCTCCTGGGCCAGTCACTTGCGGGGCATAGACAGGCTGTTGATTGGAGAGCTGATGTGGTGGCTGCTGCTGTGTGGGCGGCATTCCTTGTCCAACTATGGGCGACGGCTTTTGCGCGATCATGGTAACCGGTGCACTGCCAACCATAGGCCCACCTGGTGAGCCACTACCAGACTGTGAGGGTGGTGGCATAGCGTAAGGTGGCTTCACCATTCCGGGCACAGACGGCATACTGGATGCTGGTACCCCGCCATGTGGTGGCTGTGAAACTGTTTGTCCTTGCTGCTGTTGTGGCGGCATTACGGCCACTCCGCTGGGCATACGCTGTTGCTGCCCCACTCCAGTTGGTGGACGCAACGACGGCTGAGAAATACTTGATTGTGGTGGGGCCTGAGCCGCATTTATTTGCGCCCATTGTGGTGCCGCCTGCTGTTGCTGTCCAGGCGGCGTACTTTGCTGGTAAGGCGGCTGCTGTTGCGGCGGAGGTGGTGGCTGTTGGGGTGGATAACGATGTTGGTCCCACTGAGCAACTCCAGCTTGTTGCTGCCCATGCGGACCGTGTGGGCCTCCAGGGGGAGCAGCACCCCGAGGTGGAGCATTGCCCCACGACTGAGGTGCAGTCGATGTGGGATATTGAGGACGATACTGCGGATTGTTGCCTTGCCAACCACCTTGAATATTAAATAAATTATAGTTGAATGGAGTGCTAATTTAATGGAATGCTCCACACCAAATGCTTACCATAAATTTGGGGCCGCGTAGCATAGCCAGGGTAAGGCTGAGAATCTTTAATAAAGTCCGGATGTCGGCGTGGCTGAGGACTCTGCAAATAAAGAATGAGTTAATTCCGCCACTTAACTTAGCAAACGCAAACTTTGTGATTTACTTGATCCGGCGGCCTATAGTAATCCTGTTGATTTGGAGTGCTTGGTACATAGCCGCTGTTTGGCGGGGCTACGGGAGCGCCACTAGTCGGAGGGCCACCCGCTACCGCTTGTGCCGGTGGCTGCGGTCCACCGGGTGGTGCTTGACTGTAGGGACGATTGCCATAGGGACCGTACTGATTCGCACCAGCTGGAGGGCTGCAGGATGAAAAAGAAAATCATTAAAATAATATGTACTTCGTCGTGCGTAGCAACTCTTCTAAGGCCGTGACAAATAAAATAGGCTCAGTACGGTTGAATTTCTGTATATGTGAGATGAGTGTGTTTGTCTGAGTGTAATGAAGCTGTATGTAAATATATTGTGCACTCACGCTTCCCCCTCGGGTCCGTAGGGAGGGTACATATTGCGACTCTGAGGCGGATATTGGCCCTGATTTGGTCCGAAAGGTTGGCCCGGCGGGCCAGCGGAGCTGTACTGCTCGCTCGAGCCATACTGCCCATAAGCACCAGGAGGTGTTGGATAGGGGGAACCTGTAATAATTGAAAATATGTGATTAATATCAAACGGTCATCATACACAGGAAATGGACAATATAAATTGAAATTAATTAAAGATTTTTTAGAGCTGTACAGATCTGAAAAAGCAGCTTATTATGCAGTTCATACAATTTCGCGTAGTAAGATTTAATCAGCAGTTCCAAACGATTTGCAAACATCTTTATAATTTATCATTTTAAAATGCTTAGATATAACAGATAGCTTAATTTGACGGCAGTACAATAAGCAGTCATAAAAACTAAATACTACTCCAACATATTTCATGTTACTTATTATTTCATAGCCAAGCCAATTGAACTTAGGTAATCGACAAATGATTAAAACTAATTCTAGTTTTGAAAAGTAATAATAAAATTTAAGAGAATATTGGTAATAAATTAAAGGTAGTTAATGGAAATGAAAATTTTATATTGGAAAATAAATAGTTATAAAGCAAATTAGTTGTATGCAAAAGTAGTTAGACTGGAACCCACATGCAGAACGATCGCAAACTGAAATCAATGAAGACGTTGCGTAACCATCAAATCGAAAGGAGACGTTAAAGAAATGGTATAACAGAACATAAGAAAAGAAAACATGATGAATGTACCTGGCGTTCTAGACACAGGCGTTGGATACCCAGAGCTACCCTGTGGATAAGGTACTCCAGTTCCAGGGCGCGCATGCTGCGTCGACGGCGGCCCATGTTGCTGTGGTGGTGGCGCCGGTGGTTGCTGCGACGGCGATGGCAATTGGGATGGAATGCCTTGTTGGTGGTGTTGTTGGTTGCCCGATTGTGGCGCTGTGTGCGGTGAATGCGGGGGTGGTGGGGGAGCACCATGTGAGGCAGCACCACCAACTGCAGCAGCAGCAGCAACACCACCAGCGGCCCCACCGCCAGCAATTGGATCCTCAAAAGGATTGCTCACATTTATGTTATCACCGGCAACAGTGGCAGCTGATTGATTTTGAGTGCCTGAGTCGGCAAGCGGCATTGATGATGATTATGGATGGATTGATGAAGAAATTAATGAATGACACATAATAAAAATTGTAATTGTTGTAATTGACATGAAGAGTTAAGGTTTTGTTGAGCGAGATCGAAGTGGTTTTTAATAATTTTAGTGGAGCGATGTGGTGTTGTTGTTGTTGTTGTTGGTAGTGTTGTTGGTAGTGGTGTTGGTGGTGGTGGTGGTGGTGTGGTCGGGTGATTGTGGTTTTTGGTGATTTTTATAAGTAGTGCGCCCATATTTACGTAACCAACATAAAAATGAATAAACAAATTACACACATGAAATTAATAAATCAAATTTTAGGCAAACGAAAGCTATATGCATTATCTAATTGTAATACACATCGAAAACATAATTAATTCAATTCAATATTACAACAAATTAACGGTAATCATAGACATGGCTATATCATATATATGTATGTATATTTACATGTGTAAGTAATTTCAGAACGTATTTGTATATGTATGCAACTCAGCTGATATCGTAATTTGAACTGAATCTGAATCTGAAT